TGTTTGGCACTGGGAACGTGTTACTGACATGTCATTTTATTTCCTTGTTTGGGATTAACTAAATGGATCGCGGAGAAAGTTTAATGAGAGAGGACATGCCTTCCAAACTCCGGTGTGATCAGTCTTTTTTCCTAATTGTTTTTGTGATCATCCACTGCCGGCTATCTTTTTGCTTTCTGGGGTGGCAATATGATTTAAATATAAAATACTATTAACTGGACTGAATGAACTAAAGGGGATCAAAAAGGGAAAAGAAAGAAGGGATTTATAAATTAATAATTTCCTGGTTGGGCGAGACCCAATAGGCTTTTATAGCCGAAACTGAACTTGAGCTTAACCAATACAAAACGTTTAAATAAGGTTATTGGGTTATTGTGATGTTTATTTAATATTTGGGTGTGTTTGTTAAAATGATCCATTTAAATATTACTTGTGGGGGTTATTATTTTGTTATCCATTTATTTCTGAAGCATATTATTTTTGTTGGGTTTACGAAATACATATAATTTAATTGACAAATCACCTAGTACTTTCCCGTCGTTTTTCTTGCTGTAAGTCCTCTTTAAAAAGTATATTATAAAATTTACACATACACTTTATTCAAATCATTTCGATTGCGTGAAAATGCATCTGCGCAGCCAAGCGCTAATCTACTTGAGACGATACATGTGCTGAAACCCACGTGGGCGCTTGAAAGACAAAACGAGGAGAGATTAATTAAAGATAACTAAAAACTAACTAGGTTTCCCTTTTTATCTATGGCTTAATCATCGAAGTTGAGAAACACACCATTTTGTATGACTCCGGGTCAAAATTCTACAAAAGAAAAGAGGACCATATGCATGTCAGGTAAAATAACAACCCTATCTCCCAGGACAAACGAGCTAGAAACAGCTAGCTAGCTAGCTAGCTAAATGGCCATGAATGCTTTGTGTGTTTCGACCTGCCCCCAAATTAATATAGTTGGTTTTGATATTTTAACCTGCGTGTCATGACCACGTCTGGTGTGGATGGACAAAATCTGTGCGCACGTGGGTGGCCGGTGTAGTTAGCATGTTAGGCATGCCTGTTTGTAGTTTTCATTTTTGTATACATTTGTTTCCATCACCATCTGAACATAATAATCCGCTTGGGCTCGCCGACCAAAAAGAGTCAAGACAGAGCTGGCCCTGGAACTAAGGTAAGGTTGTTTTGCTGTCTCCCTGGGCACATGTGCATCCAAAAGTCCTCAAACGCTGATTTCTCAAATAAATGCACACATTCATTCAGGTTACAGACCATGTAACTAGGCCTAGGAACCCTAGACAAAGCAAGCGCAACTATATCCGTTGGCTAGTTCTAAGTTACGTAACACTATGCCTTCCTTTACTTGATGTGTTCAGAGTGGTGTTGCACGGTATACATACAATTCGGTACTTTTTAGATACTAGAACCTGAGAAACTGTTCGGTACTAGAATTTGTGTTACTGTCGGTACTTCTGTCAAATGTGTCTCACAGATCAAGGCTGTCTATCAGCGCAGCCGATGTTCCCCTTATAGAGTAAGCGCACCGTGCCTGTTCCACTTGCCTGCACTGGGAGTCTGGACTGTGTCATGTAGAAATGTTGTAACTGTTAATTACTGTTCACAAAACAATGTCCATACAGGCTAGAACACTTTACAATGCAAGAACAGACAGCTTATTGTAGGAGAACTGAAGCTATCAATTCACTACCCTAGTACTTTATGATAATATGCTAATCATAACCCAAAATATGGTGATTTCAAAGCGGTTTGCCACAAATTTTAAATCATTAACTTAACACTCGGAGCGCCGGAATTCCATAACTACTAGAATGGCCATGGTCATTCTGATTTAAAGTGTTTAACACTTTATCATGGTTGGTGTCTTGACGGATTTGTCCAAAATCGTGTCACAATTTTTTCTGGGAGAGAAGTGGTGGAGGGTGGGGGGGGGGGGGGGGGGGGGGGATAGTTTTGCTGGCCGTTCGGCAGTATCTGTGAAGGGCCACCGGATGCAGGTCTAAAGGATCTGATTTGTGTGCTCTGATTCAGCTGTTGGCTTGGTCCTGGGTTTTTGTGGCACTCTTTGTAGAGTGGATGGTGGTGGCTGAGAAATTCCTGCCTTAGGTTTGTTGTGGTGCCATATTCTTTCCATTTTTTTTATAATGGATTTTAAAATGGTGCTCCGTGGGATGTTCAAAGTTTCGGATATTTTTTTATAACCCAACCCTGATCTGTACTTCTCCACAACTTTGTCCCTGACCTGTTTGGAGACCTCCTTGGTCTTCATGGTGCCGCTTGCTTAGTGGTGTTGCAGACTCTGGGGACTTTCAGAACAGGTGTATATATACTGAGATCATGTGACACTTAAATAAATTCCACCAATTACTTCTGAAGGTAATTGGTTGCACCAGATCTTATTTAGGGGCTTCATAGCAAAGGGGGTGAATACATATGCACGCACCACTTTTCCATTATTTATTTTTTAGAATTATTTGAAATAAGTTATTTTTTTCATTTCACTTCACCAATTTGGACAATTTTCTGTATGTCCGTTACATGAAATCCAAATAAAATTAAAATTACAGGTTGTAATGCAACAAAATAGGAAAAACGTCAAGGGGGATAAATACTTTTGCAAGGCACTGTAGGGGCATGCTAATGGCGACAGGAACACCAATAGAAAATGGACACGAAGTAGAGGCATTACTAAAAGTGTGTTTATTACCCAGTAAATTAGCCGTGGTAAAATGTGAAACTCACACCAATCTTATTGAGAAGATAGCAATAGTGAGCAGACGAGGCGGCAGCACTATCTAAAATAGAAGATGCTACCAAACCGCATGTAAATACTAAAGCTGGGATGCTCAGTTCGAGAGAATTTCAGCAGCAAATTCCTAGGAAGGAAACATGGGAGTGGTTAGAGAACAGGTGTCAACTAGACACAGAGGGGGTGTGGTATAATATGGCGGGGAGTGTTGGGTACGTTCTGGGTCTGGGTTAAATTATGTGCGGTGGAGGATATCTTCGTGGGCTATCCCTCAGCCTTGTCTCAGGGTAGTAAGTTGGTGGTCTGTTGATATCACTCTAGTGGTGTGGGGGCTGTGCATTATCAAAGTGGGTGGGGTTATATCCTGCCTGGTTGGCCCTGTCCAGGGGTATCGTTGGACAGGGCCACAGTCTCTCTCTCCCCCCCCCCCCCCCGGTGGCTATAGGTACTAAACCTGGTATCGAAGTCAACTCCGGTATCGGGACAACACTAGTCCAGAGTAGAGGAGTGTTTGGAGACAAAAACATGGTCATTTGTAATCTCTCCCTCATTCATAATGCAGATAAATGCTATACCCCAACTTAAGGTAGCAGCATAGCCACTCTCTCTGCACCTGTTCGGCTTACTAGGGAGTTAACAACAGTCATTCCATAAAGCAGACTGTCCACAGACTAAGTCCCAACCATGTTCTCGAGGACCACCAGCCGTCAGATATTTGTTGTAGCCCTGAGCTAGCACATCAGTTTCAACTAGTCAAGGACTTGATGTTTTGTGGACTCATTGAATGAGGTGTGCTACTTCAGGGCTGCAACAAATACGTAAAAAGGCCTACACGTTACCTTGCCTGAAATTACATTGCAAAAGCCCTCTCTTGAAACACATTGTCCCTTAAGAGTAATACTCTCTCTCCCTCATGCAATGATGCAATGTTGAACACACCAAAGTCCACTTTGACGTCTTACAGCTCTCTAAACCATCAGACACGAACACGTATTGAGGCCATGCAAACAAAATCAAGGCAATACTAGCTAAAATAGTTTGTCTGACAGATCTATATTTAGAACCAGCGCCAATTAGGCTAGCGTCATGTAGTTTATAGTGCAGACCCCAGTCAACATGACACTTCAAAAGAACAACAAAGCTGAACTGAGCTAACCAAAATGCAGCATATCGCATCCTCACCTCCAAGTCAAATTTGCAGCTACTGACCCAATTCTGTTGGGCTGAGACAAATGTGACGTTTGTATCATACTCCGATTGAAGATACTGCCGCTGCTCATGTTGCCAGCGTGACGTCTGGAGTCACTCGACAGTCGCCTTTCAGTCTCTTTTAACGTAACAAAACTACAAAAACAACAAACACGACTAGTGTGGCTCAGCAAGAGAGCAAAACTGCTGCCTAACATGTTCCATACCCCTCTTCTGTGGTCTTAAACTAAACAGAATATGTAGGCCAGGGATGGAATGGTAAAAAGTAAGATTTACCCTCCACTACATCCCTCATGGAGGCCTACTCCATATGTTGATGCTCAACATTGCACCTTATATGTTGAGTTTAAGTCATGGGCTTCAATAAATGAACTCATAGGGCCAGCTTCCCAGACAGATTAAGCCTAGTACTGGAATAAAAAGCACTTTCAAAAGGAAATTCTCAGTGGAACATGTTTTCTAGTCCAGGAATACGATGTGCAAGTGACGGGTCAATTTTACTTCCGTATACCTTGTTGAGTAGGCCAAAAATTACTCTCAAATTTGCATCGTCAAAGAAAACACAGCCATTTAAGATACCATATGTCGGTTTTCAACGTATTCGACTGCCAAGAAGAAGCACAAAGCCGAAAAGTAAAATCTGTTTCATTAGAACTAAACACATGAACCACAAATCTTTCGACAGCTCGCCATAGTAAAAACTATACTTTTTTTAAAGTACTGGCTGGCAACGTTCAGCAAAACACCCAAACAGCGTAATCTAATATATAACACATCAAACGGCCTATAAGTAACGGGTTCTTACAGTCCTGTAAATCCTCAGCTCAAGCATGCATGCTCCGGCATGCTATCAAAGCAGCAGGAGATGTAGTCCAAATTAGACTTTTCGGCGATGCGTTTTCCTTCTTGAGTCAATTATTATAATAAAAGGCTTTTGGTATGACTAAATCAATACACAAATATGAATATCATTTTATACATATCTTAGATGACCTTGTTTTCATGTTCAGTCAAGAGATTATGGGACACGACCTGGAAGTATGACGTAGGAATGCTTCACTTTCATAGAGTATAGCCTAGACTTAATCTGTGTGATGAGAAACCGGCCCATAAGGTTAATTGTAATTCATTGGAGTAAAATCTAAATTCTAGCTCATCAGGGGATTCAGTTAATTGGAAGAAATGGCAATAATACTTAGTTGTCCGCTAAGCATATCACAACTTGCAATGATTTCATTACATTGTAGTTTGTTTTGAAGCAGACAGCCGCATAGGTTAAAACAATGATAGTAGAACGGTTTACTAGAGGCATGTCACTTTCTTTACTTACCAGTTCTAGGTCTCCCTCTGCAGGCAGTTTGCGGTTGTCAGCATTGTGTTCTGGGTCTCCTCCACTGTTGTTGTGACAGTTGGCCTCCTTCTCCTTCTGCTCAAAGTACTCCAGGAAGGACGGCTTGGCGGGCTGCATGGTCTCATCTCTCCCTAGGCCTGCACCGAAAAAGCAGTGTCAGTGTCCAACGTTCAAGACAACAGTTAACTTTCATAAGTTACAGTGCCTTCAGAAAGTATTCACACCCCTTTACTTTTTACACATTAAAATTGATTAAATTGAGATTTTGTGTCACTGATCTACACACACACACACACACACACACACACACAACACCCCATAACGTCAAACTGGAATTATGTTTGTAGACATTTTTTGAAATTAATAAAAAATTAAAAGCTGAAATGTCTTAAGTTAATAAGTATTCAACCCCTTTGTTATGGTAGGCCTAAATAAGTTCAGGAGTAAAAATGTGCTTAACAAGTCACATAAATTGCATGGACTCATTCCGTGTTCATTAATAGTGGTTAAGATGATTTTTGAATGACTACCCCATCTCTGTACCCCACACATACAGATAATTGTACGGTCCCTCAATCGAGTAGCAAATTTCCAGCACAGATTCAATCACAAAGACCAGGGAGGTTTTTCCAAAGCCTCGCAAAAATACAAAAAGCAGACGATGAATATACCTTTGAGCATGGTGAAGTTATTAATTACACTTTGGATGGTGTATCAATGCACCCAGTCACTACAAATATACAGGCGTCCTTCTTAACTCAGTTGCCGGAGAGAAAGGAAACCATTCAGGGATTTCACCATGAGCCCAATGGTGATTTTAATACAGTTACCGAGTTTAATTATCCTGATAATAGAAAACTGAGGATGGATCAACAACATTGTAGTTACTCCGAGCGGTCGGGTAGGCTGTTTGGAGTGTTTAAACGACTGGATTTAGGACCGTGCGGACACCACAGAGCAGGCTGACAGGCTGTTTGAAGGCAAAGCTTCTGGAAGGCTGGCTGGACCAGCACAGAGTTGAGCATGGTTCAGTGTGTACGTGTTGCCCTCTTTCACAGAGTTGTAAAAGGTAGCAATACAGAAACTGGCAACTCTTTAGTTGACTGGCAAGGTAACTGCTGTTTAACTTAACAGAAAACCCACGAAACTAGTGTTTATTCGCAGTGCTGAGCTAGTATTGTAACTGACATGTAACGTTAGCTAATGTTTCGTCCCTTCTCGACTGAGGAGAATGAATAAGCTACGCTAGTGAGTAGCTACCACAGCCAGGTCAGCTCTAGCCTCTAGTTATCTGTCAGCGATATGGCTATTATTACTATCTAACAGCAGTTGTTTGTATGGAAATGTTTTGTAGCCTTTGTTTTGTCCTGTTTCAGAAGTAAATGAACTTGGCAAGCTTTTGCCAGTTGATGTACCGTTAGAAAGAGAGCTGGCCAAAAGTTGGCTTACATTAGCTATTATTTTTGCCTCAATCAAACTACACCTGAATCAAACGATGAAACCATCGGCCAAATGATTGAAGATTTATATTCTGATGTTTTTTCAGTGCAATGTGAGTTGTATTAGTCAGTATGGCAATGTAACTTTATTGATCTGTCAGTTTCCCTAGCTAACTCTACTTTTCACACTGACACAGTCAGTAATAAACAGCTCTAACGTTACAGGCTTCACTGTTATGGTGCACAGTAGAGGTCTGCGCGACACCGATTTATTCATCCCACACCCGCTGGCTTTCTGTCTGACTCCCACCCGCTACCGCAAGAACTGGTCCCAAACCCAACCGCAGTCCCGCAATATTATTTTAGGCGTATGTGACGCAGCTCACTTGCCAGCCATGGTCCCAGCCATTTTACGCCCTATAGGAAATGCACAAAAATATCTTACGAAATAGGTTAAATTACCAGAATCTCACAAGGCCCTTACACTGAAATACTGGGCTATATCAGCCAATATGCTAGATGTAGTTTGAAGAGAGCAGAGTTGGAGACTTGCACTTTCTCTTGAGCTATTTTTATAGCCTACCTTTTAAGAGTGGGTTAGGGGAAAATAAAAGGAAAATGTATTAAAAATATATATTTGCAAAAAAATATATGGGGGATTAGAACTGAGGCAGGAAATTATATTGATGGAAGCCACAATCTGCAATATTAAAGCTGATCTACCCCCCCACCCCACTCCTAAAACCAAAGTTGCGCCCCTGTGAAAATGTATGGCAAGACTTGAAAATAGCTGTCTAGCAACTTAACAGAGCTTGAATAATGTTCAAAAGAATAAATGGGCAAATATTGTAAAACCCAGGTGTGGAAAGCGCTTAGAGACTTACCCAGAAATACTCACAGCTGTAACAGCCATCAAAAGGTGCTTCTACAAAGTATTGACTCAGGGGTGTGAATACTTTTTTAAATGAGATATTTCTGTATTTCATTTTCAATACATTTGCAAACATTTCTAAAAACACATGTTCACTTTGTCATTATGGGGCATTGTGTGTAGATGGGTGAGCAAAAAAAAATCTATTGAATTCATTCTGAATTCAGGCTGTAACAACAAAATGTGGAATAAGTAAAAGGGGTACGAATATTTTGAAGGCACTGTAGAATTCGGTAACACTTTACTTGACACCCAGCATCATAACACGTTATGAAATGGTTATAACCATGTCATATGACATAACAGCTGACATAACTTGTCATTAAATATGGTCATAACACTCATGACATATTTAGACCGGTTGTGACATATATTGCATTATTTTATGGCTGGTTATGACACCTACATAAGAGTGTCAAAACCCACAAAACCTACCACACAAGGCAAAACATTCCATTACACTATAGTCTACTTGTCAACAGTATGTTTATGTTATATAACATTCTCTGAAATTGACCATATTAAATACTCATTGTAATTGCACACAGATTGATGTCAGACATGCTCTGTTTCTGATGACTGGAATGAATGCAGGAGCACATTTCAGGTGCAGGACAAGACACCATATTTTTGACAGATGACTGACATAAGTACAGTGAGAGAAAAAAGTATTTGATCCCCTGCTGATTTTGTACGTTTGGCCACTGACAAAGAAATGATCAGTCTATAATTTTAATGTTAGGTTTATTTGAACAGTGAGAGACAGAATAACAACAAAAAAATCAAGAAAAATGCATGTCAAGAATGTTATAAATTGATTTGCATTTTAATGAGGAAAATAAGTATTTGACCACCTCTCAATCAGAAAGATTTCTGGCTCCCAGGTTTCTTTTATACAGTTAACGAGCTGAGATTAGGAGCACACTCTTAAAGGGAGTGCTCCTAATCTCAGCTTGTTACCTGTATAAAAAGACACCTGTCCACAGAAGCAATCAATCAGATGCCAAACTCTCCACCATGGCCAAGACCAAAGAGCTCTCCTAGGATGTCAAGGACAAGATTGTAGACCTACACAAGGCTGGAATGGGCTACAAGACCATCGCCAAGCAGCTTGGTGAGAAGGTGACAACAGTTGGTGCAATTATTTGCAAATGGAAGAAACACAAAATAACTGTCAATCTCCCTCGGCCTGGGGCTCCATGCAAGATCTCACCTCGTGGAGTTGCATAGATCATGAGAACAGTGAGGAATCAGCCCAGAACTACACGGGAGGATCTTGTCAATGATCAAGGCAGCTCGGACCATAGTCACCCAAGAAAACAATTGGTAACACACTACGCCGTGAAGGACTGAAATCCTGCAGCGCCCGCAAGATCCCCCTGCTTAAGAAAGCACATATACAGGCCTGTCTGAAGTTTGCCAATGAACATCTGAATGATTCAGAGGAGAACTGGGTGAAAGTGTTGTGGTCAGATGAGACCAAAATTGAGCTCTTTGGAATCAACTCAACTCGCCGTGTTTGGAGGAGGAGGAATGCTGCCTATGACACCAAGAACACCATCCCCACCGTCAAACATGGAGGTGGAAACATGATGCTTTGGGGGTGTTTTTCTGCTAAGGGGACAGGACAACTTCACCGCATCAAAGGGACGATGGACTGGGCCATGTACCGTCAAATCTTGGGTGAGAACCTCCTTCCCTCAGCCAGGGCATTGAAAATGGGTCGTGGATGGGTATTCCAGCATGACAATGACCCAAAACACACAGCCAAGGTAACAAAGGAGTGGCTCAAGAAGAAGCGCATTAAGGTCCTGGAGTGGCCTAGCCAGTCTCCAGACCTTAATCCCATAGAAAATCTGTGGAGGGAGCTGAAGGTTCGAGTTGCCAAACGTCAGCCTCGAAACCTTAATGACTTGGAGAAGATCTGCAAAGAGGAGTGGGACAAAATCCCTCCTGAGATGTGTGCAAACCTGGTGGCCAACTACAAGAAACATCTGACCTCTGATTGCCAACAAGGGTTTTGCCACCAAGTACTAAGTCATGTTTTGCAGAGGGGTCAAATACTTATTTCCCTCATTAAAATGCAAATCAATTTATAACATTTCTTACATGCGTTTTTTTCTGGATTTTTTGTTGTTGTTATTCTGTCTCTCACTGTTCAAATAAACCTACCATTAAAATTATAGACTGATCATGTCTTTGTCAGTGGGCAAACGTACAAAATCAGCAGGGGATCAAATACTTTTTTCCCTCACTGTACGTGATAGGCCTATCTGGCTTATATACTGAACAAAAATAAACACAACATGCAACAATTTTAACAATTTCACTGAGTTACAGTTCATATAAGGAAATCAGTCAATTGAAATAAATTCATTAGGCTCTAATCTAAGGATTTCACTGACCGGCGCAACCATGGTGGGCATAGGCCCACCCACTGGGGAGTCAGGCCCAGCCAATCAGAATGAGTTTTTCCTCACAAGAACGCTATATTACATTAAGAAATACTCCTCAGTTTCATCAGCTGTCCAGCTGGGGCTGGTCTCAGACGATCCCACAGGTGAAGACGACAGATGTGGAGGTCCTGGGCTGGCGTGGTTACACGTGGTCTGCGGTTGCGAGGCCGGTTGGACGTACTGCCAAATTCTCTAAAAATGACGTTGGAGGCGGCGGCTTATGGTAGAGAAATTAACATTCAATTCTCTGGCAACTGCTCTGGTGGACATTCCTGCAGTCAGCATGACAATTGCACGCTCCCTCAAAACATCTGTGGCATTGTGTTGTGAGACAAAGCTGCACATTTTTTGTCCCCAGCACAAGGTGCACCTGTGTAATGATCATGCTGTTTAATCAGCTTCTTGATATGCCACACCTGTCAGGTGGATGGATTATCTTGGCAAAGGAGAAATGCTCACTATGAGGGATGTAAACAAATTTGTGCACAAAATCTGAGAGAAATAAGCTTTTTGTGCATATGGAAAATGTCTTAGATCTTTTATTTCCGCTCATGAAACCAACACTTTACATGTTGCATTTATATTTTTGTTCAGTATATGATTATGATGGTCATAATGCTTCTTGACAGTGTCAAAGTGTATTTTCTACAAATTATTTAAAATCAGATGTGTTTTAAAACATGACTGCAAATAATTAATTACAACAACAAAGGATTTAAGAAACAAACTTTCAGGGCCCCCCCGAGTGGCATCACAGTGCTAGAGGCATCACTACAGACCCGGGTTCGATCCCGGGCTGTATCACAACCGGCCGTGATCAGGAGTCCCATAGACAATGACAAACCTCCTGGCATTGACAACTTAGATGGAAAGCTACTGAGGATGGTAGCTGACTCTATAGCCACTCCTATCTGTCATATATTTAATCTGAGCCGAGAGGAAAGTCTTTGTCCTCAGGCCTGGAGGGAAGCCAAAGCAATTCCGCTACCCAAGAATGGTAAAGCAGCCATTACTGGTTCTAACAGACCTATAAGCTTGCTGCCAGCTCTTAGCAAACTGTTGGAATAAATGGCCAAATATAATGCTATTTCTCTGTAAACAAATTAACAACATACTTTCAACATGCTTATAGGGAAGGGCATTCAACATGTACTGCACTGACACAAATGACTGATTGGTTGAAAGAAATTGATGATAAGAAGATTGTGGGAGCTGTACTGTTAGATTTCAGTGCAGCCTTTGACATTATTGACCATAACCGGTTGTTGAAAAAACTTGTGTTATGGTTCTTCAACCTCTGCCATTTCGTGGATTCAGAGCTATCTATCTAATAGAGCTCAAATGGTTATTTAATGGAAGCTTCTCTAATGTCAAACATGTAAAGTGTGGTGTACCACAGGGCAGCTCTCTAGGCCCTCTACTCTTTTCTATTTTTACCAATGGCCTGACAAATTACCAAAAATGTCTAAAAACCAGTTTTTGCTTTGTCATTATGGGGTAGTGTGTGTAGATTGATGAGGGAGGAAAAAACAATTTAATCAATTTTAGAATAAAGCTGTAACGTAACAAAATGTGCAAAAAGTCAAGGGGTCTGATTACATTCCAGCCATGAAATAAAGCAATATGTCACAACAGGTGTAAATATGGGTCATGACATATTATGACCGTGTCATAACGTGTTATGACGCTGGGTGTCAAGTAAAGTGTCACCTAGTATTCTATAGATATACGGGGCAGTTTTCATGCAACCAAACATTGAATTTGCATTCAAATGGTTTGAATCCCCATGGACCTGAAAGGGAAGATACTGGTGTTTAAAAGAGACATTTTGAAGAGAGTAAGATGGTGTTACTCATTCCATGACAGTCAAAACCCAGAGGAATACAAACACCAGTTTGCAGAAGAAAAATAAATTTAATTAAATGCTATGCCTAGTGTAAAGAAAAAGTAATCCCTTCAAGAGTGTGTTCTATGACCTATGACAATATGCTGCCTGTACCACCAAGCCCCTCCAAGCAGACTTGGCTTAATATTAATTCACAGGATGCTAAATTATTCTGCCATTTCCTTATCGTCTCCCTGGTCTCTTACAATAATAACACATTTCATTTTCTATAAGTATTCACACCCCTGAGTCAATACCTTGTAGAAGCATCTTTGGCAGCGATTACAGCATTGAGTCATTTTGGGCATGTCTGCACCAGCTTCACACATCTGGATTTGGGGATTTTCTCCCATTCTTTCTTGCAAATGTTCTCAAGCTCTGTTAAGTTAGATGGGGAGAGGCGGTGAATTGCAATCTTCAAGTCTTTTCACAGATTTTCAAAAATGGGAGTCAAGTCTGGGCTTTGGCTGGGTCACTCAAGGACTTCCACATTCTTGTTCCGAAGCCATTATAGCGTTGCTTTGGCTGTATGCTTGGGATCATTGTCTTGTTGGAACGTAAATCTTCGCCCCCAGTCTAAGGTCGTATGAACTCTAAAGCAGCTTCTCATCAAGAATTTGCCTGTATTTGGCTCTATTCATTGTTCCCTCTATCCTTACCAGTCTCCCAGTCCCTGCCACTGAAAAGCATCCCCATAGCATGATGCTGCCACCACCATGCTTCACGGTAGGGATGATGTTAAGACGCATGATGAGCTGTGCCTGTTTTTTCACCCCCCAGACATAGTGCTTAGCATTCAGGCAAAATAGTTACATTTTTGTCTCATCAGACCACAGAATATTTTGCCTTATGCGCAGAGTCTTTCGCATGCCTTTTTGCAAAACTCCAGGCGTTTGGCCACTCTCCAATAAAACTCAGATTGGTGAAGTGCTGCAGAGACCGTTGTTCTTCTGGCACATTTTCCCATCTCAACCAAGGAACTATGTAGTTCAGAGTGGTCATTGGGTTCTTGGTCACCTCCCTGACCAAGGTCCTTCATGCCCGGTTGCTCAGTTTGGTCGGACAGCCAGCTCTAGGCAGTCTAGGTAGTTCCATGTTTTTTGCATTTCTCAATGATCGAGACCACTGTGCTCTTGGAAACTTTCAACACTCTAGAAATTGTTTTATACCCTTCCCCAGCTATATGCCTCATCACAATTATATCTCGGAGATCTACGGACAGTTCCTTGGACTTCATGGTATAGTTTCTGCTCTGATATGCACTGTCAACCTTATATAGACAGGCGTATTTCTTTCTAAATAATTTCCAAACAATTGAATTGGCCACAGGTGGACTCCAATGAAGTTGTAGTGACTCAAGGATGATCAAAGGAAAATGGATGCACCCGAGCTCAATTTGGCACTTCATAGCAAAGGAGTGTGAATACTTATGTATATGAGATTTCTGTATTTCATTTTCAATACATTTCTAAAAACTTGCTTTCACTTTGTCATTATGGGGTATTTTGTGTAGATGGGTGAGAAAAAACATATTTAATCCATTTTGAATTCAGGCTGTAACAACAAAATGTGGAATAAGTCAAGGGGTATGACTACTTTCTGAAGGCACTGTATATTAGGACTAGAATAGGACCCTAAACGGACCCCTGTGGGACACCGCATGTGACCGTAGACTCCGAAAATCGTAATGTATTACTTCCTATTGGACAGGTAGGAGGAGGAGAACCAGAGCAGTTCCAGAAATTAGTGTGCTCTCTGAGACGCCGCAGGAGGATGTTGTGGTCAACAGTGTCAAAAGCAGCACTGAGATCTAAAGGAGGAGGCTAGGTGATCCAGAATCTGCAGCCATCAGCAGGTCGTTGGTAACATTCACCAGAGCTGTTTTGGTGCAGTGCAAGGGCCGGAAGCCAGACTGGAAAACCTTGTACAGCTGATTGGAAGACAGATGGGATTGAAGCTGGTTTGCAACTACTTTCACCAGTACTTTTGATAGGAAGGAGAGGTTGGAGATGGGCCTGTAATTGGATAGGATGTCCTGGTCAAAGTTGGGTTTCTTCAGTAGGGGGGTGACTGCAGCTGTTTTAAAGAGTGATGGTACCTCCCCGGTGAGCAGTGACTTGTTGACTGCACAGCGTTGGATGTGACTTCTGTGAAGTTGCTGACGGGAGGGGCAGTCTAAGTTGTTGGCCCAGGAGGTGGGGACCATGAAGTTTGTTCTGTTGTTGTCAATCTTACTCTTGAAAATATCAGAAGCGATTGCACTGCTCAGATGAGGCTGCAGGAGGGAATGAGTTTGCAAGGTTGAGAAGGCGGATGAGAACAGGGTTCTGGGGTTAGCTTTGTTGTTGCCAATCGTGGTGAGTAGAAGGCTGATCATGCTGCTTTTAGGGCAGCAGAGTAGCTTGCTTGGTGGTCTTTGCAGGCCAGTAGCTGGACAGCGAGGACATCCTTCCTCCAGCACCTCAAGCTTACGGCCATGAGTCTTCATTCTGCACAGTTCATCAGTGAACCAGGGAGAGGAGCGTTAGGTTACTTTCCGTGTTCTTTCGAGAGCAAGGATGTTCAGGGGTAGTACTCCTTAGGTTGCGGAATTTAAATGGTCCTCTTTGGGCAGTGGCAGCAGCCAGAGACAATGTAACAGCCTGGTGGTCAGATACGCCAAGTTCAAGGACATCCAAGTCAGAGGCAGGGACATCTCCAGTGACAATGAGGTCTAATGTGGGTCCATGGTTGTGGGTGGAGACATTAACATATTGCACAAGGTTTAAACAGTCCAGCAAGTTGAGGAAGTCAGCAGCCATAGTCAACATGGAGGTTAATAGTTCAGAAAACCACCCTGATGCAGCTTACTCTGATGTTCCTTACAGTAACATGAAAGATGTGCCTTCCCCGACTGACACTTAAACACAATGTATTTTTAATAAAATAACATGAAGGACAATAGATTACACTGGATAACAAAGTGTTCTCCTTGTCCCTCTTCGGTAAAAAGCTGAGGGATGGGGCTGGAGAAATGTAACCACTCAAATTCATACAGAGCTATGGATACAAGGACTGACCATATATGATATCAAAATTATAGTTTTAACCATGTTTTAAGGCTATAGTGTACATATAAGCTTGTTTTTCATGGGGTACGACACGACAGTTGAATTAAGCTCATGAGGCATTTTGCAGATTGCCCCAGTGGACACAAAATCAAAGAAGGAAAACTCCTGCCAGGAACAAAGTCAGAGTATTCCACAATGCACGCTAGGCCTGCGATGATAGACCACCCCGGAGTTGACTTAACGCAGAAGTAGATACCAAGGAAGCACTAAAGCCCAGCAGTGGGACATCGTCACTGGACAAAATATAAATGATTTAACCCAGCTTGAGTTAAAACAGGGAGAACTCATCCCTGGGATTTGATTTCTGGCCACACAGCATCAGAGGGTCTTCTGCTGAGCTGAGCATGTGTCAAAAAAAGAAAAGCCAGGTCAGGGACATCCTGTTGGCCAAGAAGCTAGCAGTTTTCTATGGGTTTCTGTATTTTCTACCATGCCAGTGCAAAACCAAATTGGTGAATGTTTTGTCTCTAAATAAAACCTCATATCTTACAATCCCATATAGTTGAACCTGACATCCTACACCATTAATCTGAAACATAATCGACTTAAAAGGATGTTTCATGTCTGCACATAAGTATGCAGCATCATGGGAGAAAGACACAAACAGATCCAGACACACTACTGCCCCTGAAAAAACACATTCATTATTTAAGTCCCCCACACACTTCAACCAGTCTTTGTCCTCAAGGGGAAAACTGACAGAAAGGTTAATGATGCAATATGCAGAAATCGCTCCGCCATTTCCTGGTTGCTAAAATTCTAATAGTTCGCCTAATTTCAGTTTATGTGACAAAAGCAGGTAGTGTAGAGAATCATTGTACCATCTAAACCTCTGTGAAACATATTTTCCATAACCAAAAATATTGTATTTTCAGCTTTTTGAAGCTGGTGTACAGAACCGAAAGTAAAAGATGCAAAAACAAAACTTAAAACGGGAAACATAGAAATAGCGCACATAGAACAGATCTACTGCTTCTTAGACTTGCTTTCAATTAGATTGACAGATCTATAGCTCACAATTCTATGTGAATTGTCAGGTCGCCCAAACCTTTACATATTGCAGCTTTGAAAGATAGTCGTATGTTTAATACATCCCAAAAAAATAACGTAAATCAGGAGTGGAATTGAAAAAATAAACTATCACTCAGGGAACTCACCATTGTCCAATCACCAGGCATTGAGTTTGGACATTGTGGACAAAAACATATTTCACATATCATAATATAACCCATGAGATTCTCTCTTTGGGAACTCCATTCACATTCATTCACTCCCAATTCTACCCCTGCTTGGCATTCTCCAGATGACAACTAATGGCAAAATGTCAGATTACATAAACCTTTTACTAAACCCTCTATATTCTCTGGAACTTCCCACCTCTGGTGGTCATCTGAGCAGCAACCAGCACTATACAATGTGGGAAACAATGTCCCCTTCAGCCTAGTGAAATACCTATGCCATCTAGTGGGCCTTGGAGAGACAGCCGCTAAATCAGGCAGCCACTGAAGGGTCCTGGAGGGCCACAGGGTCCACTGGTTCACTGTGTGGCTCCAAGCCCAATGACGTTACCACAATCTCACTGTATGCAGGACAGTGGTTTCAAACGGAAGCATGAAATAGGATGGACAACCCTAAACTGATTGCATCTGGACTCGCTTATAGCACTTTTAAATTCTAGAGAATTAACTTTGTTTTATTAGTTAATTTAACCTTATTTTTTGTTTTGCATTTACTTATTTTAAAAGGTAAGTTGAGAACACATTCTCATTTACAACAAGTTGCAGGGGAGATGAGAGGGGTTCAATGTGCCAATTTGAAGCTTGGGATGCAGAATGCACCACACTGTGATAGATTAATGAGACCTTGTCATAGCATTAAACAAAACAATGTCACAACTCTTTCTTTTGGTATCTTTCAATACCAAAAGTCTGCAGTGATCACGTAATGGCTAGACATGACATTCCCTTTCACACTGGACTGCAACGCAACTCAAACAAGAGTATTATAAATCTACTATGACATTGGGGCGTCTGTCACTTACGTTTCATGGTGCCGGCCTCCTCATCATCGTCCGAGTTGATCACCATGGTGCCCAGCTGAGACACCATGGTGTCCGTGTCGCTGTACTCTATCATGGTCCTCGCTGTGTCCCCTAACGAGCCCGCCTCCCGGATGGTGCCCATGTCACCCATGCCCGCTCTCACCATCGTGCCCTGGTCCACCTCGTCTTCGTCCTGATTGGGAAAAACAACGTATTCGGTCACGACTGTGCAACTGTACGACACAGTCACTCACACAAAGTTACATGGAAATATATGTGACACTGTGATTTGGAAAAATCCTGTGATGGATCATAATAATAATAATAATAATAATAATAATAATAATAATAATAATAAGCCATTTAGCAGACACTTTTATCCAAAGCGACTTACAGTCATGTGTGCATACATTTTTACGTATGGGTGGTCCCGGGGATCGAACCCACTACCCTGGCGTTACAAGCGCCATGCTCTACCAATTGAGCTACAGAGGACCACCAGTTGGTAGGTTATATTGAATAGTGGCAGTCTGATGTTTCAAGTGTGTAATATCAGGGCAGAGCAATAGCAGCATGCCAACGAGGCACAAGCTAAAATGTTCTGCAGGTCATTTCAATCAATGATATTTAACTGCATTTGTTATAGAATAATATAAAACTTACACATGCCTTTTGAGCTTAACCCAAAATCTAATGTTGTATTACTCCATTGTAATTTGCAAACAATGTATAGCTCCAAAATGTGCTTAAAAATTCGATGCATGTCAATCTCATGGATTGTCAGTCCTGCATGCATAGTCCTGTCTATGAAAAGGCCTACAGTGTTCGAGAGTAGCAACATTTCCCCTCAGCTTATGAAATAAAGTGGTAGGGTCCTGGTGTTTATAGTCTGTTGTGACGTAGGTCTTCGTGTTAATAAAAGCCAATTAAATGAGCCTCATAAATAGATGATAATGGGCTCGCGGTCTGTTGCGGCCCTGCAGCTGCCAACTATGAATTAGGCCTAAGCGTTAGTGGTGTGTGTGTGTACCGAGTTGTCTTCGTCCTCTTGGTCCTGTTCGCTCTGCTCGGCCTCCACTTTCTTCAGTTTGATCTCCATGGCATCTGTGATCAGAGCTCTGAGGATGCTGCTGGGCTTAGCAGCCTTAATGAACCGATGCTGCAGGAAGCCAAACACACAATGTACAAACTCACAAACAACGACACGAATGAGCAGACACCCACATCATTGTCAGTAGTGCAGTGCAACACCATTGAATTAATCTTGCCTTTAATCGCCTAGAAAAAAAACACCCGAGATCGTCCAGGTGATCTATCGTAACGAACACGTAGTTAGAAGAAAGATTGCGACATGTTGCGCTTGCAAAGAAACAGTTTGAGGGAGCAAACTTACAGTTCAATTTTCAGAAGACGGGATTGCGCATTATGGGCTCTATTGTAGCCCTTTTGTGCAGTCGATGACCAAAAGCACACTCTTTGGCCTCATGGGCGGAACGTTCTTAATATAATAATAATGAAAGATTCTTAAAAACCAGACAAAAATCTGGTGTTTCTATGTCAAACAGTTGTGTTATATTTCAGTCTTCTGTGATGTCTTCTCAATCGCACTCCACACCACCCTTTCCCACTAGGACAAAAGGAACACCTATGTGAGAATACTGTTCATTGACTACAGCTCAGCGTTCAACACCATAGTGCCCACAAAGCTCATCACTAAGCTAAGGATCCTGGGACTAAACACCTCCCTCTGCAACTGGATCCTGGACTTCCTGACGGGCCACCCCCAGGTGGTAGGGTAGGTAACAACACATCTGCCACGCTGATCCTCAACACTGGGGCCCTTTAGGGGTGCATGCTTAGTCCCCTCCTGTACTCCCTGTTCACCCACGACTGCTTGGCCAAACACGACTCCAACACCATCATTAAGTTTACTGACGACACAACAGTGGTAGGCCTGATCACCGACAACGATGAGACAGCCTATAGGGAGGAGGTCAGAGACCTGGCAGTGTGGTGCCAGGACAACAACCTCTCCCTCAATGTGAGCAAGACAAAGGAGCTGATCGTGGACTATAGGAAAAGGCGGGCCGAACAGGTCCCCATTAACATCGACAGGGCTGTAGTGGAGCGGGTCGAGAGTTTCAATTTCCTTGGTGTCCACATAACAAACGAACTATCATGGTCCAAACACACCAAGACAGTCGTGAAGAGGGCACGACAACACCTTTTCCCCCTCAGGAGACTGAAAACATTTGGCAAGGGTCCCCAGATCCTCAAAAAGTTATACAGCTGCACCATCGAGAGCATCCTGATCGGTTGCATCACCGCCTGGTATGGCAACTGCTCGGCATCTGATCGTAAGGCGCTACAGAGGGTAGTGTGTACGGCCCAGTACATCACTGGGGCCAAGCTTCCTGCCATCCAGGACCAATATACTAGGCAGTGTCAGAGGAAGGCCCAAAAAATGGTAAAAGACTGTTCTCTCTGCTACCGTACTGCAAGCGGTACCAGAGCGCTAAGTCTAGGACCAAAGAGCTCCTTAACAGCTTCTACCCCCAAGCCATAAGACTGCTGAACAATTAATCAGATTGCCACCCGGACTATTTGCATTGACACCCCCCCCTTTTGTTTTTAATACTGCTGCTACTCGCTGTTTATTATCGATGCATCGTTACTTTACTCCTACCTACATGTACAAATTACCTTAACTAACCTGTACCCCCGCACATTGACTCGGTACCGGTACCCCCTGTATATAGCCTCGATATTGTTATTTTATTGTGTTAGTCCACTGCAGTAAAAGGTTAACAAGCCTAACCAATGGTAGATCTAAGCGCTGGCAGTAGCGCTATAGATCCGGGGGGGGGGGGGGGGGGTCAGAAATGTGTTAGCTATTTTCACTGTCTGAATAATGAGCTTAATACTGCATGCCTTCTGTAGGTTATTCACAGTCTTTGAGTTGACATCAACTCCAATTCGTCTGGGTGCACAGAATATTCTCTTCCTGGTCCATTGTGGATTGATACTCAAGTTTATTAAATAGCATAGGCTCCAGTAACGAGAAAAAGCTACAGTAAAAAAAACATCCAGAAAGAAAATGAACCACGGGAAAAGCGTCCTCCATTCTCTATTTAAGTGCATAGATGAAATTCTTTTCCCCTGCCCTCGTTTCGAGACAGGTGCATGATAATGGTCCATTCTGAATCAAAACAAACTTCACACCTATATTATTTAGTATATATAAAGACAAGAGTAAATCAAGAATAGTGTGATGGGGGACAATATTAGCCTATCACTTGTGAATGATGGCCAGCTTGTGTGCAGTAAGGCAGGAAACAGTGCATGCCTTTTTTTTGTTGTTGACTTTTTCATGTAGCCAAGCCCATAGGCCTATATGTTTTGATAAGGTTTGTATCCCAACCAAATAACTTCTTAAAATTAAGCACATTAATCCGCTTTACAACGGGTGGAGCCTAAAAGGCATACATACGCAGCGCATGAGTTTCAAGTTTGGGGAAGATCATTTTTACCATAGAAATGCACCTATATAATAAAAGCATTACATGCATAATCGCATTTGCGCTGATAGCCTACTGCAGTGTGCGCATTGCTGTGCTTATGTGAAGAAATAGCCTAATAGTTTATCAACATTTTAAGCTAAACGTTCTGATCTTTTACCTCAGCCTCATTGCTTAGATATGCGCCTCGGAACTGGATAAGGACATGTGCAGTTGCATCCCCGATGTGTCAGTCTTCACTTGTAGCCTGTGAGAAAGACCCAATCATATGACGGGCATTGGCTAATATAAAAATTGAGCTATCTGAGCGAGCCATGTGAGTGAGAGGTGCTTCGGAGCACGCAGCCGGGAGAAGGGAATTATTATTATTATATTCAGCCCAAGGGCACAACGGCCAATGGCCGCAAAAGGCATGGATTTTTTTTGTGGGGGGCATTACGGCCACACAAAGGGGATGCAGCCGAGTAATTCGAGGCATTATCAAGTGCTTGTCAAATTGTGAATGAGAGACTGATGAAGTGTGTGCAGCCTGCGCAAATAACAAAGCAGAGCTCATGCCTTTCACGCTACTTTTTTCAAATCGTCATTAGAGTCGCATAATGTAGCCTTCGAATATATTATAAATCAAAACATATAGCCCAATGTTTGTATCACAACTAAAGTTGCATAAATCATTCTAAATTAAGCATATAGGAGGACTGGTTTCCATCAACTCATTTCGAGAAAATATCCTTTCTATTTTATTCAGCTTTGTTCAATTGTATTCTTCATACTATAAAATAATGCCATGGAATTCTAAGCAAATCTTGTCTGCTAAATGAACTAGTGTAGCCCACAGCCATATGGCACAGCCAGATCAGGGCCAAACATAAGGACAATGCAGAGTGCGCTGTTCTTCTCAAATAGACTACATTTTCTTCATATCATGTTTCTTTAGACCTGTCTAAAATAAATAATGGATTTATTGGACTTCCAAAATGTAGATGTTCCAGGAGATGCTAAATGTGTTTGTTAATTAACGGTCAATTACCGTGAGACCGGCAGTTAATTGCCTGACAATCACCGGCTGAGAAATTTACATGACCGCCACAGGCCTACACTTGAACAATTGAAATATAGTATGCAGGTAGGCATATTTGTGTGTGTGTGTTTTAGGATGTGCAGTATATTTTCAATTCAAGGCACTCTGACAAATAGACCATTTAAACACCTTTTATGGATTGGCTACTTTGCAAGGCCAGGATAAAGAAAGACAACGCTTTGCTGTTGAACCAGCCTTAGTAGCCTAGGCCTAGGGTAGCCTATGGAGGGCTTGATATGAAACTGAAAAAAAGCATCTATTTTTTTTTAAACAAGAATATTTCTAAATAGGATGGGGTCAGAAGCATATCATCGCTTCTCTCATTCCATGGCACTTTGTGCACAAGTAGGCCTAAATGTCCTTATGCGTAACATTTGCACATCTAAACAAAACACCTGTCAATTGTATTATTGCCTATGTGAGAGGCAGATATACAAAAATTGCATCGCCTTTGATATGGCATTATAGGAAGACAGTTTAGTCAATACCTGCTTTTTATGGGTCTTAAAACGTCCCATTAGCGCTGCATGAAACGGTCACTTTTGCGCTTGTTTTTAAGGACACACCTCAAATGTTTCCACCCCTCCCACCTCAGCGCAAGCGAGCGGATGTTAGACAGGTAAATTGTCAAACCCGTTTTTACATGGTAAAAGTTAAGAATACGAAATTGCAAACTATCGTGCGTTTGACACTTGCAACTCCTTCGAGCCAGCCGAAATTAGAGCCCTATGAGTGGCCTCGGATAATGTGCAATCCCATCTAAAATATTACAGTTAGTTTGCTCATGCAACGTGTTTCTTTGCAAGAGGAAAATGTCATCCAGAGAGAAATGATGGAAGGAAAGAGAAAATTAACAGAAAGAGATAAAAAGAGGAAGAGATTGAGTGGGAGAGATAAAGATAGGGACTGAGGGAAACAGAAGTATTAGGCTGAATAAGGTCGTTTTGGTATGGGGACAGTGCCATGACACCCTATTCCCTAGATTGCGCACTACTTTTGGGAAGCAGACAGTGTCAGTGAGATAGGTTGTTTTACCTGTAGAAGCTGTGTGGCAGTGGCTCTGTTCTCTGGGTTCTTCACCAGGCACTGGATGACAAAGTCTCGGAAGAGCTCCGACCATAAGTCTGGGTTTCGGAAAGTCGGTGGAGGATTGGTAGGAATCATAAATATGGCCTATGACAAAGCAACATAGCATGACAGAATAGACAAAGTCACATACTGGGACAATTTAACAACACAACATCACACATTTCAAGTTCTCTCTGTTTTTGCCAGTGCATTCAGAATGGTTTTAGAGGGGTTCAAGCCTGAGAAGTCTTTGACAAGTTCCGTCAATAACAAAACCAGATCTGTACACATTAAAAATAGGCTCACCCTCATAGGGTGGATGTCTGCGTAGGGAGGCTTTCCCTCTGCCATCTCTATGGCTGTGATGCCCAGGGACCAGATGTCTGCCACACAGTTATACCCAATCTCTTGTATCACCTCGGGGGCCATCCAGAAAGGAGTGCCAATCACTGTGTTCCGCTTGGCCATGGTATCCTGAGGAACAGACAAGTAGTAGACATGACATATGAATGACATCTGTACATGATATATAGAAAACGTTATGATGTCCTGGTTAGTCGTGGATTGCTCGCAAACAACTTAGCTATATTAACTCTAATGCAGGATGTTAAAAAGTCGTAGCCGGCCGCGACCGGGAGACCCATGGGGCGGCGCACAATTGGCCCAGCGTCGTCCAGGGTAGGGGAGGGAATGTAGCTCAGTTGGTAGTGCATGGCGTTTGCAACGCCAGGGTTGTGGGTTCGATTCCCACGGGGGGCCAGTATGAAAAATAAAAAAATAATGTATGCACTCACTAACTGTAAGTCGCTCTGGATAAGAGCGTCTGCTAAAAATGACGGAGAAAAAAAAACATTTAAAAAAAAAAGGGACTACACAGTACAGCCCAGATGGCGAAACTGATATTTTGAAGGTATATAAAAAAAGTTGGTTGAAGAGTAGCATCCCTTGGCTGGGTCCAGTACAGATCAAAAAGGGATCAGCTGATGAGACTACTAGACAAGACAGTTTTCAGCACGTGCAAGAGGTCAAATAAATGTACAACTATTTTCATTGGTTGGGCGGATCGGTCTTGTTTCTAAACCTCTCCCCAAGATTTGACATAGTGAATTTTAGGGGACACCAACAGTCAATGTGGCAGGTATTATTAGATAGTTCAGATCTATCAAACCAAGGAGTTAAATCAACATCCTAGATCAGAGGTGCCTAACATAATTCCTGAAGGACCGTGTCAGCTGGTTTTTGTTATTTCCTTTCAATTCATGTCCAATTAAGACCTAGCCAACCAGGTGAGGGGAGTTCCTTACTGATCTTAATTTATCAAACAAGTACAAGGGAGGAGCAAAAACCCAAAGACACTAAGCCCTCCAGGAATTGAGCTTGACACCCCTGTTCTAGATCAAACGTTCATCTAAAACAGTCTCATCTCATTAACTTATGACTCAATGATCTGCACCAGCCGTTAGCTGGTGAATCCCTTACCGTCAGCTGTCCCGCTACCCCAAAGTCAGCCAGCTTGGCCTGGCCCTCTGCGTTGAGCAGGATGTTCCCTGCCTTGATGTCTCTGTGGATCTTCCTCATAAAATGCAGGTACTCCAGTCCCTTCAAAGTGGACTGCACTATGGTGGCGATCTCATCCTCTGTTAGCTACAAGACACGTGAGGGAAAAGACACTAACCACGTTTCCATCCACAGTTTTTATGCGAGTAAAGTCATAGCTTATTAAAAAATACAAATCACGACAGCTGTGATGGAAACAGGAAGTTTCGGTACAATGTATAAATGCCGACAGATCATTTGTTCGTTCGACATGATGGGATGTTTTTGGGTCAGTAAAATGTATTATGCGAGATATGGCGTCGTCATGCACTGCTTTTTATTTGCAACAAGTCTGTTTGGTGGAAACACCCCTGGTGGGAAAATGCGCTAATTTTCTTCATGTGGATTTTAGAATACTCGCATGAAAATCTTTCACCAATTGAATGGAAACCTAGCTAGTGTGAGACAATTTTACTTATTTCCACTACTGATTGCACAAAACAACAATATTGAAATGTACAGCAAGCAGAAATGTATACAAAACAGTTAATACATTTTTGTAATGTTTACTTTAAATCTGCATAAATAATTGCCACATTCTGATAAACATTTCAAAATATCCCATTACAAGTTTAGGGTACGAAGGCGTTGTTACACACACACAGCATATATCACCCTTAATATTCAGTCAGATTTAACGTGTTTCATGTAGCATGTTACCGTTTTGTTGCGTAGACGAATGATGTCAGAGACCGAGCCAGCTCCGCAGTACTCCATTACAATCCATAGGTCGCTGTTCTTAAAATAACTGCCATAGTACTTCACAACATGGGGACTGAGGATGCAAAAGAGCCTTATGAGCATTTAGCCTACTTCTGGTACCTTGTTGTCTATATCAGACTAATCATACGTTTAGAATGCAAAACCATGTTTTCTAACCTTCTTCAGGTCACAAATAATGTTACAAACATAGCAAGAGATGATTTAATCTGGCGACACAGAGGGAAGTCAGGCAACCAGAGGAGGTTGAGTGGAGGGTGCCTCACCTGTTACACTGCTGCATGATGGAGATCTCTTTGATGATCTCCTGCAGGTCGGACTCCACAGGGACCTGTTTGATGGCCACAATCTCCCCCGTCTCTTTGTAGTTGGCCTTAAAGACACTGCCATAGGACCTGCATAGAAAACAGGTGTGAAAAAAAATAAGGTACCTTGGCTACTACTCAATGAGTCGACTTGTGACATGCCTTGGGTTCACAGTGAGAAAGTTGTGGTCATAGGGCCTACATGGTTAGTTTGAGAGGTAAATCGATTAATGAATGTAGTCTTATTCTAGCACAGTAAGTACATTTTATAAATGCTTGAAATAGGCATATCAATAAGGAGCAATACAGGTGACTAGCGCAGCACAACTTACTTATACACCCATCAGCTGTCAGTCATGACGCAATGCCAGAGAGCATGTCAATCTCAGACACGCTAGCAGGAAGTTGATTAACAGGAAATGAGGAAGAAGTGTTTAGGACAGGCGGAGGGAGGGGCTTACTGCATGAGTGACACTTATGTCATGCTGTTATGTCACGCTTCTTCCTTGAGTGTAGTGTAAGTCAGAGAGGGATAGCCAGGCGTTTTAGCTTCAGCTGTCCATAATAAAAACACATGCAGGACTCACCCTTCGCCAAGTTTCTCCAGCACATCAAAGACTTCTTCTGGCTGCTTGGTTAAACTGTCTTCACTGAGCTTCTTTAACTGCCTGTAGGGTGGAAAGGGAAAGTGGGTTTAGGAAACCTTGTGAGTGAGTCCTACTTAAAGCAACTCTGATTTTAAATAGGTTTAGGACCTAAAACATGCCAGTGTTAGCAGTGGAGTAAAATGTTCTCTGAACTCACTGGCACTGTAATGTACCGATCTAAAAACAGAGCCTCCAGGGCTCCATGACAAACAGATCCAACACAAAATCGGAAACTGTCATATGAATTCTATTTATGACAACAGAATCCTGTAAATGCAATTTGATAAGCAACATTGGAGCTGTCAGTATTGGCCTCAATCAGGTTTCATAAGGACACAAGATACAGTGGAACAGTAAAGACAGGCATGGGTTTTTAAAACAAATAGGCCTAGACACGAGCATACTGAAGTGGACATTAACTTCTTAAATTGTCAACGCAAATCAGGGATGTCAAACTCATTCCATTGAGGGCCTAGTGTATGCAGGTTGTTTTTTTCCTTTCAATTATGCCCTAGACAACCAGGTGAGGGGAGTTCCTTCCTAATTAACAACCTTAATTCATCAATCAAGTACAAGGGAGGAGCGAAAACCTGCAGACACTCAGCCCTCCGTGGAATGACTGACACCTGTGATGTAAATGCTTGGTCAGAGAAAACAGAGGAAATGACAATGAAGAGATACAAGCATTGTATGACTGCAGGGGCCTCCTAATAACAATGTGTCAATCATAATGCTGCCTCATAATTTGTTACCAATTTACATTTGTCGGAATTGTCAAACAATGTTGTTCCACAACCTAATTTTGCATGAATAATTTATCCTCCCCAAGTGTAGTTCAAACTATATAAAGTACTGTACAGAGTACATGTGTTATGTCCAATAATGTTGGCCTATGTGGTTGTCAACATACTTGCTAGCCTATGTACAGCAGTAGCTAGCTAACAGCATTAGCCAAATCATTGAAAATGTTATAAAATATGCGTGATAGGTAACTAGCTAGCTTTAGTTAAAGTTAAGATAGTTGGTAGCTAACGCGTTAGAGCTTGATAGTGGATCTCTGCTGGATGATGCTAGCTAGCTAACGTTAGCATGCTAGCTTACTTATCCAGTAGCAACCCAACACTAACAGGCTAACAGTATATTCAAACTAGAGAAACACGCTTCTGCAGCCCATTTAGATAGTCCTGAGACATTACCTGCGTGGGTGAGTCCTCATTTGTACTTTGTCCTTGCTCTCCATTGTTTTCTTCAAGATAGTTCACTTCTGCTAAACTAGCCACTCACCAGCTAGCTAGCTAGCGAACTCTAGCAGAGATAAGCGTTTCTGAATGTTTGACAGTTGTCTGAAAACTTAGTTCGATTTTTGTGTAAAGCCAGGATAACAAAATCTCAAATTGTCCTTAAACTACTGTAATCTCATTATAGGCTCCATCCTCCTCTGACTAGGCAACTTTGGACGTATTTGAACATTTATTGCCAAGCGTCTTGACCTTTCAGTTCAAACCCGGAAGAGCGTTGGGACTGGGCGCGGAAATAGAGGGCTAATCCCAAATCTAACCCTAGAACCTACACATTTGTGGAGATTTGACACATGTAAGCAATATGGTAATAGTTCCAACTTCTGATAGGATAGGTGGTAGTTTCGCCATATTGCCAAAGACAGTACAAGATGGCCATAACTGCTTCTCCAATAGGTCGTTATCAATGAAACGTCACAATATAGAGCAGAGCATTCGATTCAACCCAGTCTCTCATTAACTATGTACAAATAAGCACAATATTTTTTTATGTACTAATAGCAAAAACTCATGATTACTTCTTCTTCTGTGGATTTTATGTGTCGGTTGGCAACTCATGACGACCCATCGAGCTCACAATCATAACGCCAGACCTCTGATGCCACGCCCCTTCTGAATTCCTTTAAACTTGATGCACCCTGAGTTTGTGCTATTAGTACAAATAAACATAACTGCTTATTTGGATGTAGCTAGCTATTTTACAGTGAGAACGCGAGGTAAATTATTCGACAAGAAATGATAAATAATCGAGTATTTTCTGTATTTCGGCCCGCATAACTCTTATTTTATTTCAATCAATTACATGTATTCGTTCATCTTGTAGACAGGAAGTGATATTTATTAGTCTCCTGCCAACCATATCTGTACGCTAACGTTAGCGTTTTGGTTCCTTCCGGGAGCCAGTGAACTTTGGGCCTTTTTAGCTAGCTGTTCGCTGTTATTAATTATGTAAAAAGACAATCAATAATATAAATCTTGTACGCACATGGAAATACTTTTTAGTGAATGACTGAGTTATTTATTTCATGACTTAAAAGTGGCGGGCTGTGGGTGATGGACTGTGAAACTCAATCTCCCATGATTCCGTAGTAACGGAACTGACTGTGTTCGTTTTTATTATCAAATCAAATCAAATCAAATTTTATTGGTCACATGCGCCGAATACAACAGGTGCAGACATTACAGTGAAATGCTTACTTACAGCCCTTAACCAACAGTGCATTTATTTTAAACAAAAAAGTAAGAATAAAACAACAACAAAAAAAGTGTTGAGAAAAAAAGAGCAGAAGTAAAAAATAAAGTGACAGTAGGGAGGCTATATATACAATAGAATAAAGTGACAGTAGGGAGGCTATATATACAGGGGGGTACCGTTGCATAGTCAATGTGCGGGGGCACCGGCTAGTTGAGGTAGTTGAGGTAATATGTACATGTGGGTAGAGTTAAAGTGACTATGCATAAATACTTAACAGAGTAGCAGCAGCGTAAAAAGGATGGGGTGGGGGGGCAGTGCAAATAGTCCGGGTAGCCATGATTAGCTGTTCAGGAGTCTTATGGCTTGGGGGTAGAAGCTGTTGAGAAGTCTTTTGGACCTAGACTTGGCACTCCGGTACCGCTTGCCGTGCGGTAGCAGAGAGAACAGTCTATGACTAGGGTGACTGGAGTCTTTGACAATTTTGAGGACCTTCCTCTGACACCGCCTGGTATAGAGGTACTGGATGGCAGGGAGCTTTGCCCCAGTGATGTACTGGGCCGTACGCACTACCCTCTGTAGTGCCTTGCGGTCAGAGGCCAAGCAGTTGCCATACCAGGCGGTGATGCAACCAGTCAGGATGCTCTCGATGGTGCAGCTGTAGAATTTTTTGAGGATCTGAGGACCCATGCCAAATCTTTTTAGTCTCCTGAGAGGGAATAGGCTTTGTCGTGCCCTCTTCACGACTGTCTTGGTGTGTTTGGACCATGATAGTTCGTTGGTGATGTGGACACCAAGGAACTTGAAGCTCTCAACCTGTTCCACTACAGCCCCGTCGATGAGAATGGGGGCGTGCTCAGTCCTCTTTTTTTTCCTGTAGTCCACAATCATCTCCTTTGTCTTGGTCACGTTGAGGGAGAGGTTGTTGTCCTGGCACCACACGGCCAGATCTCTGACCTCCTCCCTATAGGCTGTCTCATCGTTGTCGGTGATCAGGCCTACCACTGTTGTGTCGTCGGCAAACTTAATGATGGTGTTGGAGTCGTGCCTGGCCATGCAGTCATGGGTGAACAGAGAGTACAGGAGGGGACTGAGCACGCACCCCTGAGGGGCCCCCGTGTTGAGGATCAGTGTGGCAGATGTGTTGTTACCTACCCTTACCACCTGGGGGCGGCCCGTCAGGAAGTCCAGGATCCAGTTGCAGAGGGAGGTGTTTAGTCCCAGGATCCTTAGCTTAGTGATGAGCTTTGAGGGCACTATGGTGTTGAATGCTGAGCTGTAGTCAATGAATAGCATTCTCACGTAGGTGTTCCTCTTGTCCAGGTGGGAAAGGGCAGTGTGGAGTGCGATAGAGATTGCATCATCTGTGGATCTGTTGGGGCGGTATGCAAATTGGAGTGGGTCTAGGGTTTCTGGGATTATGCTGTTGATGTGAGCCATGACCAGTCTTTCAAAGCACTTCATGGCTACAGACGTCAGTGCCACGGGTCGGTAGTCATTTAGGCAGGTTATCTTAGAGTTCTTGGGCACGGGGACTATGGTGGTCTGCTTGAAACATGTTGGTATTACAGACTCAGTCAGGGACATGTTGAAAATGTCAGTGAAGACACTTGCCAGTTGGTCAGCACATGCTCGGAGTACACGTCCTGGTAATCCGTCTGGCCCTGCGGCCTTGTGAATGTTGACCTTGTGAATATTCAACACAACCTCAGTGGTTGTGTTGAATACCTCACCCAACTTAAAACAAGCAATTACTCTGCATGTAATACATAACATATAATAAACAGAATCAACTATTTTGCATTTTAATTAGATCTCTGATAGATTTCAAGGTTATACTGCTAACCTACAAAGCATTACATGGGCTTGCTCCTACCTATCTCTCCGATTTGGTCCTGCCGTACATACCTACACGTACACTACGGTCACAAGATGCAGGTCTCCTTATTGTCCCTAGAATTTCTAAGCAAACAGCTGGAGGCAGGGCTTTCTCCTATAGAGCAAAATCTTTATGGAATGGTCTGCCTATCCATGTGAGAGACACAGACTCTGTCTCGACCTTTAAGTCTTTACTGAAGACTCATCTCTTCAGTAGGTCCTATGACTGAGTTAGTCATGGTCAAAAGTTTTGAGAATGACACAAATACTAATTTTCACAAAGTCTGCTGCCTCAGTTTTTATGATGGCAATTTGCATATACTCCAGAATGTTATGAAGAGTGATCAGATGAATTGCAATTAATTGCAAAGTCCCTCTTTGCCATGAAAATGAACTTAATCCCCAAAAAAACATTTCCACTGCATTTCAGCCCTGCAACAAAAGGACCAGCTGACATCATGTCAGTGATTCTCTCGTTAACACAGGTGAGAGTGTTGACGAGGACAAGGCTGGAGATCACTCTGTCATGCTGATTGAGTTAGAATAACAGACTGGAAGCTTTAAAAGGAGGGTGGTGCTTGAAATCATTGTTCTTCCTTTGTTAACCATGGTTACCTGCAAGGAAACACGTGCCGTCATCATTGCTTTGCACAAAAAGGGCTTCACAGGCAAGGATATTACTGCTAGTAAGATTGCACCTAAATCAACCATTTATCGGATCATCAAGAACTTCAAGGAGAGAGGTTCAATTGTTGTGAAGAAGGCTTCAGGGCGCCCAAGAAAGTCCAGCAATCGCCAGGACCGTCTCCTAAAGTTGATTCAGCTGCAGGATCGGACCACCACCAGTGCAGAGCTTGCTCAGGATTGGCAGCAGGCAGGTGTGAGTGCATCTGCACGCACAGTGAGGCGAAGACTTTTGGAGGATGGCCTGGTGTCAAGAAGGGCAGTGAGGAAGCCACTTCTCTCCAGGAAAAACATCAGGGACAGACTTATATTCTGCAAAAGGTACAGGGATTGGACTGCTGAGGACTGGGGTAAAGTCATTTTCTCTGATGAATCCCCTTTCCGATTGTTTGGGGCATCCGGAAAAAAGCTTGTCCAGAGAAGACAAGGTGAGCGCTACCATCAGTCCTGTGTCATGCCAACAGTAAAGCATCCTGAGACCATTAATGTGTGGGGTTGCTTCTCAGCCAAGGGAGTGGGCTCACTCACAATTCTGCCTAAGAACACAGTCATGAATAAAGAATGGTACCAACACATCCTCCGAGAGCAACTTCTCCCAACCATCCAAGAACAGTTTGGTGACGAACAATGCCTTTTCCAGCATGATGGAGCACCTTGCCATAAGGCAAAAGTGATAACTAAGTGGCTCAGGGAACAAAACATCGACATTTTGGGTCCATGGCCAGGAAACTCCCCAGACCTTAATCCCATTGAGAATTTGTGGTCAATCCTCAAGAGGCGGGTGGACAAACAAAAACCCACAAATTCGGACAAACTCCAAGCATTTATTATGCAAGAATGGGCTGCCATCAGTCAGGATGTGGCCCAGAAGTTAATTGACAGCATGCCAGGGCGGATTGCAGAGGTCTTGAAAAAGAAGGGTCAACACTGCAAATATTGAGTCTTTGCATAAACTTAATGTAATTGTCAATAAAAGCCTTTGACACTTATGGAATGCTTGTAATACTTCAGTATACCATAGTAACATCTGACAAAAATATCTAAAAACAGTGAAGCAGCAAACTTTGTGAAGACCAATACTTTTGACCATGACTGTAGTCTGGCCCAGGGGTGCGAAGGTGAACGGCAAGGCACTGGAGCGACGAACTGCCCTTACTGTCTCTGCCTGCCGGCTCCCCTCTCTCCACTGGGATTCTCTGCCTCTGACCCTATTATGGGGGCTGAGTCACTGGCTTACTAGTGCTCTTCCATGCTGTCCCTAGGAGGGGTGCGTCACTTGAGTGGGTTGAGTCACAGACGTGATCTTCCTGTCCGGTTTTACGCCCCCTCGGGCTTGTGCGGTGGAGGAGATCTTCGTGGGCTATACTCAGCATTGTCTCAGGGTAGTAAGTTGGTGGTCTGTTGATATCCCTCTAGTGGTGTGGGGCTGTTTCTTGCAAAGTGGGTGGGGGTTATATCCTG